AACACATTCCTCCTGAATAGGCAGATTAGGTACTGGTATGCATAACACAAACTCAGTAAACAAGGCTGCCACAGCTCAATGCACATAATAGATTAGCAGCTCCCAACAGTAGATGATGCTAGCCTCGAACTCACAGAGATCTGCCTGCCTCTGCCTTCCAAGTGCTGGGATTAAAGGCGTGTGCCACCATGCCAGGCTAAAAAAATATTTTATTATTTTTATTTTATGTATATGAGTGTATTGCCTACATGTATGTAAGTGCACCTGAGTCATGCAATGCCTGGGGGTCAGAAGAGGGCATTGGAGCTCCTGGAACTGGAGTTAAGGATGGTTGTTAGCTGCCATGTGGGTGTTGGGAATTGAACCTGGGTCTTCTGCATTTGCAGTTAGTGCTCTCAACTGCTGAACCATCTGTCCAGCCCCAGGAGGTGTCATTTTGTGTGTATTATTTGTGTATTGTTGGAATGGTTATCTTTTACACTTTTATATGATGCCCCCACTTAGTGACTTTCTCTTGACACTATGTCTTGGGGTATCAGTCCTGGGATTAATCTACAACAGGATATCTATCATTCCTTTCTTAATTTCCAAGGGTACCCTCTTCTACTCTGTGACTCTGACATGGAAGCTGAGCTAAAATTATGAAGCAGTGTGGTGCATGCTCACATGAGCATGTCAGGGTATGGGTGAGGGTGTGGATTCTAAGTTTTATCTTTTTTCTCTATTTTAAACATTTTATTTATCTATTCTGGCTTCTCTTTCCCTCCCTCTCTCTTCTTCTCCCTCTGTATGAACCCATACATGTGCTTCAATGCATATGAAGTCAGAGGATAACTTGTGGGAGTTGTTTCTTTCCTTCTACTATGCAGGTTCCAGGGGTTAAACTCAGTGGTCAGGCTTGGTGGCAAGCACCCTCACTTGCTACTTGCTGAGCCATCTTGACAACTTCCTAAGTTTTATCTTTCACAAGTCTTTTTGTGACTCACTCAGACTTTTGTGATGTGTATAGGATATTTTAATTTGTGGTTCTGCAAGTTGCTTTCTGGTGTGTCCATTTGTGTAGTCTTTGTGGTCATGTGACTCCCACCATGATGTACCGTAGCCAGGGCCAGCAGGTGCAGAAGGTGATGGTGCAGTTCATCAACCTCATCTTCAGATCCTTGCAAAATAGATCTCGGATTAAGTGTGGCTGTATGAGCAAGTGAATATGTGGATAGAGGGCTGTAT